CCCCCCCAAAAAAAAATACAAAATACACACGGCGGGGAAATGTGTACTTTACCACAGCTCAGGTACAGATAGCAGAAGAATAAAAAGAGTAAACCAAGAATGTAAAGTCAAGAAATACAAAATAAATAAGATAATAGAATATACAATGCAACACAATATATACAACGGTAGCTGAGGTTCTATGTACACGCATACACAGTATGTATTATGGATACAGGGTTGTGGAAATATGCAAGTAATACATTTCAACTATTCTACTACTATGTAAGTAATAGATATCTATAAGTATAGACATGTACTTGAACACATACGTACAAATACACATACATCACATTATTTATTATTGGTTGGTTATCTCTTAAAATCACTCACACACACACAAACCCTAGTAAAATATGATCTCCATCGTCTATGATGATTTATGTTGGCAAAATAAGTGTGCATTTTCGTAAATGGCTGTTTTACTTATCTATTTAGTGTATTTGTGAATGTTTATGTTACTGTACTCTGTGATTTTGTTTCATTTTTCACACGTCCAGTCTGCAAAGTCAATGCACACAACTAATAAAAAAAACATTTTAAAAAAAGGCAAAATGAAAGCAGCTGCATCGAAGTCAAGTAATACATCTCGTATTTTGTTTCCTGCAGCAACACAATAATAAACATTATTTCAGATGTACATCTCAGTAGTTTCTTCAAAACTCAACACTTAAAAAAGTGATTATAATAACAACTGAGGGGAGACCTCCATTGTCCCCTCTTTCAGAGTTAAAAAAAAAACAACCCAAAAGTTGTTTTCTTGAGAACATTAGAACTTATCCACATTTACACTTACAACCCTTTCAAAAAACAATGAAACGAAAATGAAATGAAAATGAAGAGTTAATTGAAAGTAGGGTCCTGAAGGTTATATTTGCAACAACAAATATAAGAGTTTGGTAAGGATGAGATTTTGGAGGTTACTGTAAGAAGAGGAGCTGTTTTAAACTCAAGGAAGGGTAGTGTCATTTTAAGTAAACACTCTTTAGTCACAGGTTTGGTTTAATAATAATAATGGATTGGATTTATATAGCGCTTTTCAAGGCACCCAAAGCGCTTTACAATGCCACTATTCATTCACTCTCGCATTCATACACTGGTGGAGGCAAGCTACGGTTGTAGCCACAGCTGCCCTGGGGCAGACTGACAGAAGCGAGGCTGCCATTTCGCGCCATCGGCCCCTCTGGCCCCTAGTCTTATTTTAGTCAAAAATATTGCTTAAATGATTTTTCTTATTAAACATTGCAGAGAGTTTAAGAATAAAACAAATCAATGACCATTAAAGACGGTTATCATGTAGGACTAGGCTTATTATACTGTATATAACGTAAATTGTATTCTGATTTGTATACTCCGGCGCGCTAGGTGGCGCTGTGAGATGGCATGAACTATGTTATTAAATTTGTTCAAAATAGAAAACAAGAATCAGTGCAGGGTGGTGCTTTGCAGTGTTGCTGGGGTTGTTTTGGTTTTACTTTTGAATAGTTTGGACTTTCGTATAATTTGTATCTATTTATGGGAGCCTTTTTGCGATAGGAGGATTCTATAATGTGGACGTCGCGGTGAGAGACATAGAAATCACTACTTGGTGAGTTTCTGAAGACCTCGCCTCATGTGTTAGCTTAGCTAGTTAGCATTGGTAATAACATAGATAAAACAGCTATGTCCTTGATTTAGAGCAGCATATTACAAAAAACTGGCAGAGTCACGTATTTAGTATTTAACAGAAATGGCCTTATGATGTGGTCTCGCATGGTTTGCTTTCCCCAAATACTTTTTTCTTTCTTACAGGTTCATCATTCGCAACTGAAACATCTTGAAAATACCAGACGGAGAACCAAAAACATTCTTTTGGTAGTAAGTAAATATACTAACTTTTCGGTGCGTTACTGGTACATTATAATACAGATCTGAGCTCATAAGGGAACGTTTTTGGCTCTTCTACTGTGTTCAGTGCCCTGAACAAGTTCATTTGAGACTGCGATATATTGTTATGCGTTTCTCAATCTCTTAAGTTTCCAAGGATGGATTCATTTGTCTCTGTCTGTGTAGACCCTCATCCGTTTTCTTAAACTCTTATCAAACCCTTGACCAATTCACTGGTGGGTGGAGCCTGTCCCAGCTGACAGAGGATGAGAGGCAGGGGAGACTCTGAACAGGTCACCAGTCATAATAGGACTAACACAGATTTACAGATAACAAAACACTCTAAGATCCACATTTACTAATCTCCAACTAACTCAACAGATGACTTGACTGTGGCAGGATACCGGTGTAAAGGGGGAGCAGGCAAACTCCACACACAAAAGGCTCGAGCTGAGCTTGGGGTTTTATCCCAGAGTAGTTACAGTGCCACCCTGTGTTAACTTACATGCCTTTGTTATTTCCTCTAGTTTGATGAGATGGGATTTTGCCAAACATCAAGTTGTGATTTAAAGCCATCAGATCTCTGGATTTAAGCACTCTAGTCTTTAAAAAAAAAAAGACAAGAGAGAAGACAAGAGAGACACTTGTGCATGGCAGCTGCAGGCTTCTGCAGGCTTCAGCACAAATTCTCATTATGTGATAAGTCATCCCTTTGGCCATCAAAACCATAAAATCGAATCCATAAGCAATGAACATTTGCATGAATCAGTATAGACTTTAAAGCCTATTTTCACCAATGTTTTGATTAGCAGAAGACTCGCTCTGCCTCCTGGGGCCTGTTCTCCGTACCGCGCTAAGTGAGTTAGCTGGATGAGATTGTTGACGATTTCGTGTGATCCTGGATCGTTCGGTTCCCCGAAGCCCATCCGGGACTTGCTGTCATAGCAACAGAGCCGTAAGCGTAAACCTGCTCGGGAGCAGGTTTACTTCATGTAAACAGGATTAGATCGCGGCCACGCAGGTATGCCCGCGTCATTCATACGAAAGCAACAGCGATATTCCACCACTGTTTCACCATAAATAAATAACATCACTGTAACCAAAGATAATGCAGCACTTGATCCTTGTATTGATGTCACACAGATACATACAGGTCATTTCCTAAAAAAGGGAAATGAACTATTAACATTCTATTACATGTATGTGATTATCACAGATGTAATTCATATTTCAGAGTAGTAATTGTAAATTACTTCGTGTAATCAGGATGAGAGACCACGGCTATAAAAGCAAAGGTGGATTTGGGAAGCCTGTCGCAGCCATGTCCTGTCCGTTTACACGAGCCACCCATTGAGGAAGGTGCAAGATTGATAAGGAGAGTCCTCAGAATTCAGCGTATATTGCGGGATAGACAGGATCCTTTAGCTCAGCGCGACAGTGTGCTCATAGAGAGATATCGATATTCCCGTGAGGGTATTATTTACTTAACCAACTTGTTGACGAGGGGTGCAGGACCACCACCTGTCTTTTTTTCCTCTGCCCTTTTCTTGGTTGCTGTTATGAACAAACTAACAGAGTATTACAGGCCAGTATTACCTTGCCAAGAGACGAAAAGCAATCTAAGAGATAAATATTACCATTCTGTAGAATA